ATACATATATGGATTGCCTTACATGTAAGTTGTAAATCCACCGAAACAACAGAGAATATCAACGTAAGGAAATGCCACAAATAACTTCGTGAGATCATTCTGAAAGATGTAGGAGAGATTGTTTCCTTTCTATAAGACTTCACCATGTTGTTTCATTTATTGAAAAATCACCATGTCTTCTGATGAAAGGGAAAACTATGTTATAAACGGATTATCTCGTGAAAGACGACTTTTTCTACGTTTAAATCGATTTCATATAATATATACTGAAGAACTGAATAATTTTTTCTTGGAGATAAATAAGAATAAAACAAATGATAAGCTACAAGAAACATGGAATATTAAGCGAAAAATTACAAGAGTATACTTTTACAGTTTATTTTTTCATAGTTTTGGTCGAATAATTTCGAGTATTATTGTTGCTTGTAGATGCTGGGCTGACTATGATGTCGATTTTACAACATTCAAGGTTTCTTTGTTCAACAGAGCAAATTTAATCAACACAAATGTTATTATTGCTGTAATTTCATCTTTTGTTGAAATTTAAGAAATGCATTGAATATACAGTATTTGTTGACAGTCTAATGGAAAACAGTTATATCTCATTGCTAACCTTATGATATACATATATAAATTATATATATATATATATATATATATATATATATATATATATATATATATATATATATATATATATATATATATATATATATATATATATATATACATTTGCAAATGTTTTCCCTTATATAACACTATTGAAAGCAACGCGTATCTATATCCGTATAAACACAGGTTCCTCGCGTCATAAACGTTCGACGTAATTTCTCAGTGACGTCATAAAGGGTTGACGCGCAAACAATGGATCAAATACGTGCAGTTAAGTTTGAAAAATAAAACATTTCACGCGTTAAAGATTATAATCAGGAAAATATAAAATATGAATAAGTCATAAATGTAAATATAAGTAATAATGTATCATTTTTAAACATCTATCGGATATAAATACGGGTTGGTACGAGATCAAATTTACCATAAAGCCCTTCGGGCTTTATGGAATTTGATCTCGTGACCAACCCGTATTTATATCCCGATAGATGTTTAAAAAAGATACATTATTTCTTTTATATATATATATATATATATATATATATATATATATATATATATATATATATATATATATATATATATATATATATATATATATATATATATATATATATAATATAAATCCACACACGTAGTCGTATATCACAAAAAAATCACAACACCGAAATAAACTCTACCGGTTTCATTTTCAATCTTCAGGAGTTTGACAACATATTGCTTAGTTACACATAAATACAAAATCAATATTCTTACTGTGACGTCAAAAATTTACTATTGCGTAAATTCACATTAGCGCTTTTTGACGTCACAGTAAGAATATTGATTTTGTATTTATGTGTAACTAAGCAATATGTTGTCAAACTCCTGAAGATTGAAAATGAAACCGGTAGAGTTTATTTCGGTGTTGTGAATTTTTTTCATATATATATATATATATATATATATATATATATATATATATATATATATATATATATATATATACGTAACGTATTACCACTTTATTGTGATATTCCATAAATCGAGATAAAAAAAATTATGAGAATGACATTCAAATCGCTGATATTGCTTATTTATCATGCAGAGAGAACGTCTATAGGAGAATAACGCTCTTACAAAAAGAGAAAGTGATTTTTCGGGGAAAATGAATATCTTGGTGCTTTAATTGGTGATTTAATGAAACAAAACAGGCATTCTTCTAATTATTTTGCCATAAGCTTGTTGCAACCAAAGTTTCTGCAATGCACGTTGAAATGATTTTTTTCTGTTGCCTTTCACCAAAATATAATTAATTTCATCAGAAAATGACTACTAATTATAAATTAACAAGTACATGTATCAGCATAGCATGTAAAATATCAGCATATCATATCAAAGTGTAAAATTATAATGTGATAATATCATCATATAATGTATCAGCGCATTAAGAAAAAATATATAAAATGATGAAGTTCCTTCGTATACTAGAAAAAATATCTGCATACAATGTCAAAGTTTCATCATATGATGGAGAAGCTTCAACATATAAAGACAAATCACGCAGGTGGGGCAATCCATACTTCGCTACATCATAACTTGTTCCACATTTAAGGATTTTCACCTTGTATTAGGACTAAACAATGCAATAAACTTTAATACCTTAACGAACTGTTATAATCCGACACATCATCATTATGTTGAGTCAGCCAAGCTTGTCTAAGAAAACTATAGTTATCATTTTATGTTTTTTTACCTCATGCAAATTTTAACTCTGAATAGATCTATAAAAGAATTTGGATTATAGCTTCATCTCTGGACAGAAAAGTAATTGTATTGATAATTGTGTGATATTTTCAAGAAATAGTTTTAGATCAATAAGATACATATATTTTTATAACAACTCAGCATTACTCATTAAGGATTATTTTTAATTCTGTTTGTCAAGAGTTTAAAATAACAAAGCTACAAGAATACATCATGGTACAATGCTGAAAAAAAATATTCTGAAGTGAAAAAACCGTTTTCCTTTATTCTTTCAGACATAATGATGAGAGAAGAGATTTCCCAACAATACAACACCTGTAATATGAAAAGACAAAAATTAATTCCTTTTCATACAATTTTATACGGTATAAATGATCATCACTGAACACTTCCATCTGGAAAGCATCTATGAAATATTGAATTCGAGTTTTTCTTGAAAGAAGATAGAAATTAATTTGTAGAAATTTACCTTCCAAATTTTAATTTCCACATCTACATTTCTGATTGATACATCTCCAGTCTGTGGGGCAATCATATATGTGCCTATCGCAGTCGCCTTTGTCCAGACATCCTGTAAAAATAGTGTGATCCCATTAGAGATAACTTTCTTCCAAAGACGATAAATTCATTCAATAAATTTTGATTGAAAAACTACAGAAAATCCTACATGTTTCTTTAAGGTATGGAAAGGATATATTTTCCTGATACCATTGCAAAATTATGCATTTTATTGTATTCATTGTATATAGTTTTTCACAACAGCAACAGGTTGTATATAATCTGTACTGTTTTTGAAGTACTTTTATCAATAATTAATATGTCAGAATAATTTGTTTAAAAAAATTTGTGTGGTGGTATTTTACATTGTGATTTGTCTTGCATCTATCGATGATATTTTAATTTTTATTTTATGCGTGTTGAACTTCTAAGGAATCTTCCCTTGATTTATTAATTGAGAAATGACTCTAATGCAATTGTTGGAGCATGTGCATTGACGAATGCCTTCAAAAGTATATGAGGTGAATTACATTTTATTAGCAAATTGATTACATGTAATTTAAAGTGGAAGAAAAAAAGTGTTTATTGTGGTAGCAAATAATAACATTTATAAACACAACTAAAGATAAGGTCCCTAAAACTAATAATGGTGAAAATATTAGGAAACACATTCAATAATGAAATATAATATATTTGCAAAATTGCTGTAGAAGCGAAATAGATCAGGAGGTTAAATTATTCACTATGACATAATTTTCTCGCAACTTCTTAAGTCAATATGCACTACATCTAGACCAGACTTGAGAAAATTTTATGAGTATGTTGGATTGTTTCTTCCATATTGTGTTTCCTAACATCAAGATCCAAATTTAGACATAATTAGACACCTGTATGGTAAATATAGCAAGTGTATACATAAATCCGCAGTTATTTTGGAATTCTTCAAGTTTACCTGGTTAGACCGACCTACTTTCACAGCAAACAGAGAAGAGCAAAGAGTTTCATTATCCTGAAATTCTTTTGTTGTGGTGGTATCCGAAGACCTTTACGTTTATCATTATTCAGAACGTATACAGAAACTTTCTAAAATAAAACTTTAATCTCCGTCTTCAAAGTAAGTCATACAGGTTCACTATATTACATACAGCAAATCAAATTAATTACTTTGCGCAATATAAAAAAATCGAAAAAGATTACAAAGGAACTGAATGTCCAGTGTCATCGTCGATATCATGTTAGTTTTGATCACTGCAGATCACACAGACACCTTCAATGTCAACTATAGGTGTAAACCCAACATTTTGAATTTTTATTGATAATATTGATACGATATTAGGATTTTAAAGAATAAAATCAAAATAAGAGGGTTTTGTTTTTTTTTTAAAAAAAAAAAAAAAAAAGGATTCACTGAATATGCTCAAAGAATTCACTATATCTCTACCTAACTTTGTCGCAGAATGCTTACGTAGGTCACAGAATGCATATACGCATTACACAAAACTTTTGTTTAGGATAGTTAGCTTACGTTTGTTGTACAGTTCAAAAGCGTATAGCATAAACATAATCCATTAGAAGCTTTACTTAGTTATGTTCTAAAATTTACGTTTTGGTAGAATTTACTTACGTATATCGTAGGGTGGTGGTGAACAGGTACAGATTCCATGAACACATTCTAAGTTTGTTTGGTGGTTACACACTGTGTCTATACAACCGCTGGTAACTGTACAGTCCTCTGACTTCAGAAATCCTGAAACATTAAATTCTGTTTATCTTTCAAGCTAAAAAAAAGCTACTTAAATCTGAATTTCTATTATAGTCTTATATCTATTGAGAAGTTGCAATTAGTTTCGAATACATTACCAACAAAAAGCACGGCAACTGCAAAGACACTTAATTGTAGTTTCGTCATCTTTAATCTTAAAGAAAGGATATCACACCAATGTACATGTACAATATCATACACTTCACATGAAAAATTACACCAAAGTAAAGTTATCTTTGGGATACTTACTGATTGCTACTTACTTACTATCGTTTGTTATGAAGTCTCAAAATGGGAAAATGCGAACGTTGACCACAAAATTAATTGGTATCTAAGCTATGAAACAATTTGGTCATCAAACCTCTTGACTTGTCAAAGAGTCAGGTTGTATTAAACTTGATAAGATACTTTTAATCAGGGTCAAACAGTATTTGAACCTCTACCATTCTTTTGTTCTTTCCCACCGACGTTAGCATGAAGATTTTAAAAGCTGCTCTCATACTTTCCCTTATTGGTAAGTAAAATTTACCTTTATTGAATAGTTTTGTGATTTTTTTTTTCGTATGGATGTCAGCAAAGGCAATTTCAATAGATTCGTTTTAAGCTTGCAATGACATTAAAGGAACAACTGTTTGAAGTCTTTGGCCTTTTCATCAATGAAGGTTAGGAAAGCTGCGAATCTTGGTCAAGTTATACTTAAGACATTAATAAAAATAGTGCTCGGCAGTACATGTAAAGTCAAATGTCTGTCGCCAGCGAACGTGTCATCTGCACTGCAATAGGGGCTGGTACGATAAAGAATTCTCCATTGCAATGTCGTTGGATCATTTAGCTAAAATTGGTACATCACCTTTAAATAGCTGTGAACTTTTAGGCAATATACTTACAATCTTGGATATTCAGTGATTGATCCCTAATCAATTGCTCTTTATAGTTTATGTGCGACATTTTATACACATACGCGTATATGTATATGATATAAACTCAGTAAATGCTTTTCATTAACTTTATACTCATATTTATTAATACTGTTTAGGTCTTGTTGCCGGAGAAGCATGTGTCAGCAAGTACCAATGTATAGATGTAGGGTGTATTCATCACACAACCCTCACTTGCCAGAACAACTTGTGTACATGTACCCCAATTACTGACGTATACAGTGAGTACAAATTAATCCAGATAAATGACGTCTATATCAGAATTACTACCTGTACATATTGTAAGGCCATGGTTGTATTACAATATGTACGGGTATATATCATTCCTTCTGATATCTTAAATAAATATATGTGTGATATCATATCTCAGAAGACTTGTGAATATATATATAAAATTCTTCACTATTTTCTCTTGTTTAGGATGCCTTTCCCCCGGGGACTGCAGACGACACACTGGAGTATGTTATACGGAATGGGAGTGCATTCAGGAACAATGCCGTTGTAAATGAATTTATACCTATGTAAAATATATTTTTTTCGAGAATTTACTTTCGTCATGAAGAAATTTGCTGTATTAAAAATAGTTAAAAATATACATATAATAATTTGTTTATGTTTTTCCTCTGAATCTCCAAAGCATAGTGCAAGCAATGGTCATACTCGTTGATTAAGACGATTAAATGATACAAAGTGAATGAACCATAAAGGTTTATAAGTCTTTTAAGTAGTAATGCAAATAAAAAAAATTAAAATAATTAGGAAAAAGAACAGCTGAGGCACTAATTACTCAGAAAGGGAATTTTAAAACGATATAAATGCATATCTAACTAGATATCCGAAAAGAGACTGAACAAATCTTTGCTGTAGAGAGCCAAGCTATAATTACTCAAAGGCTAACTAAACTTTTTTTGAAAAGAACTATACAGAAAACCCTTTCGGATAACAAGAGAGACCTATTTGACAGAAAAGCAACTAAAAATCTATGACTTTCTGACAACAAACTATAAAAAAGCATGCAGGGGATAAAACAGTGCTTTGCCGACAAACAACTAAAAGGGTTACTGTATATTGATATTCAATTCAGAAAAGAATCGAAATTGCAATATAGAAAAAAAAATCCGTTTTGGACAACATATTTGACTTCTGCAAATTAAATCAAAATAAATTATTTAATCAAAATAAATTATTTTGTGAAACAGAATTCCTACACAACCTCTGTCCATAACCTCTTATCAAGTTCATGTCTTTTGATTAAGCTTATAAAAGGAAGTCGTAATAAAATGTTCAAATGTTAATTCTGCTATCAAAAAATTGTCTATGTCACCAAAAAATTGTCTGACATGGAGTTTAATGATAAAAATCATATTTATAGAAACAAAAATCTTAGCAACTTTGCAATGGTGTCTGATTACAAGGATCTTGCGTAATATATAAACACCCTCATTGGTTTTGTACGTCTTTACATTTTGAACCTCCTCTTGAAAAATTGGTACATATGATTTAAAGGTAAGTTTTTTATTCATGAACGAAAACTTACTGCATAAAAGGAAATTTTTTTATTCATTCATCAACAATTTAACAGTAATATCTCGACTAATTATATCAAGTCTTGGCCTATTCGTTACTTGGGTGATAAGCATCTACTATTGTCTCTCTCCGTCCGTCAACTGAGCATCGTCCTACGTTCCTTTGAAATTTATAAACCAATTTAAGTATTGGTATAAATCACTCTTGATTTTTCATTTCATAATAGCTGAAGTGACTCATTTTGCATCCTAACCTATGCATTGACAAAGTTTTTTTTTAGTCATTATTTCAAATCCAGGTCTATATTTTTGAAGAATTGCCAAATTTGGCAGCTTCCAAGTAATAAACAACAGCACCAAACAGTCAAACATCGACATAGTGCTAGGGTTTTATATATTTCAAAATTTCTCAGTTGTTGGAAACTTTCATTTCGATCATGAAAAATATAGTCTTCCAATTATAGTTTTTCTGTGTTGATTGATTGATTGTATGTTATTTTACGTCCCATTCGAGAATTTTTCACTTATATAGAAACGTAACCGTATGCCGGTAAAGGGCTTCAAATTTAGACCTTTATTCGGCCCTCAGGGCCATTGAGCAGTGAGGGTTCTTTATCGTATCAACGCCTACTGTGACACAGCTCCTCGGCTTTTAAGGTCTCATCCGAAAGACTCATGACTTTCACTTCTAGGGCAGGGCGCTTGGCGAAAGAACAGTCACTACCTTTGTTTACGTCTTAAGTTTGACGCGGCGCGGCGAACGTGAATCGAACCCTGGGTTCCCGAGAGCCCTACCACTAGGCTACTGTGACCGGTTTTTCTGTGTTGAAAAGACTGGACAAATTCCATGTTAGATTTTTAAATAAGTCTTTCCAGTTTTAAATGTTTCTTGATTTAATACAGATGGTGAGGACTGCAGTGATTTTTCTCCTTGCATTATCCCTGTTTGTTGAGGTTTCCTCGTTTGAATGCGATGAGAAAGCGAACATCTGCGAAACCTCTTTGGTGATTACCGAAGAACTGACCATGTTTCATGAGAAGGAAAAGGCCGTATACTCTAGTAATGGTTCTCTTTATAAATATACCACAGACCCTATCCTTCCTGTGCCTGTTAACGTGAGTGAAGTTATCACAGCAGATGGATATGAAAAGCAGATGGCAGTTGTTGTAGCAAATGGCACTTTACCAGGCCCGTCAATCATAGCTTATGAAGATCAGATTCTTGTTGTCCACGTAAAAAATAACCTTATGTCTGAAACAGTATTCATCCATTGGCATGGAATAGAACAGAGAGGTACTCCTAGCATGGATGGAGCTGGTTTTGCGTCGCAGTGTCCTATTGATCCTGGTCAATCCTTTACATATACTTTCAATGTCGGTCAAGGCGGTACTTACTGGTACAGGTCTCAGTCAGGTGTACAAAGGGGAAGAGGGTTGTACGGGGCATTGGTAGTTCGAGAACGCAATCCTCCTTCACATTTGCAGAATGTTTCGGAGGAATTCATTATACAGTTGCAGGATTGGAATCATGACTATGATGCAAATAGAGAGTTCCTCTCTTCTGAGGTAGGGGAACTCAAAATAAGTAAAATTATAACTTTTGACTCTATCTGGAATGCTCATTCTTCTCTGATCAATGGCAAGGGAAGATACCATAACCCTGATACAGGAAATCATAATGAAGCACCATTACAGGTATTCGAAGTAGATGAAGGCGAACTCTACAGATTTCGAGTTATAAATGCAGCTTCTATGTACTCTTATAGAGTTTCTGTGGACAACCACTCCTTGACTATGGTGTCTTCTGATGCTCATTTAATCACACCGGTTGTTGTAGAATCTGTAATAGTTCACCCAGGAGAAAGATTTGACTTTATCCTGAATGCCAAAGCCGATATTGGAAATTATATGATCCGCGGAGTTGCACAAAATGTCATTAACTCGATACCTGCCGAAGCGGTGTTGCACTATGCCGGCGCAGATGAAATGTTTGTCTCTGTATCTTCTATGAGGAATCCATGTACATCGACAGAAAAATGTGCTGTTTTAAATTGCCAAGTCGTGTCTTTTCCCATGGAGCCAGAACTTCAATGTATAACTGTAGATTCTACGACAGCATACATAGGCAATGTAACTTCTCCGGAAGGTTCTATACACGAATACTTCTTGAATTTTGCCGTTGCTGGTCCTATGAAATACTTATTACCCCCTAACTCTGCAAAATCCCATTACAACAATATCAAAAGTTTGTGTTCTAAAGCAGAATGTAAGAACAACAATAAATGCACATGCATCAATATAATTGATATAAACTATAACGACACGATTCTTTTTGTGTTCTTGAACATGGGAAAGCAAAAGCGATGGGATGTTCAAATTCATATGCATGGTCATTCCTTCGAGGTTTTAAAGGTAGGATATGCAAATTATAATGAAACTACCGGGGAGTACATTTCTGAGAATTCCGACATCAACTGTGGAGGAAACACTACTGAAGATGAAAACTGTAATGGTGCTGCATGGAGCAATCCAGACTGGTTAAACGGAAATGATACCGGTTTGAATCTCGTCAATCCTCCTCAGAAAGACACAGTTACACTCCCGTATGGTGGTTACGTCATAGCACGTATCAAGGCTGATAACCCAGGAATGTGGGCAATCGCTTACCAAATGCTACCACTCGTAGCAGACGGAATTGCTGTTCTTCTGAATGAATCCTTCGAAAACCAACCAAAGATTCCAGACAACTTTCCAACATGTGGAGACTTTGGAGGCATTGAGCCAGGTAATTTCAATTTTTTAATAAATTCAAAATCTACCAGTGTTGTTTGATATATATGTATGTTATAATTATACTTGCATGTATTTGATGTAGATCTGCTAATTAGTACTCCAGCACCAACCACAACCACACCCATCCCAACAACTACAGAACCTGCCAGTAAGTACTCAACATGAGTTTAATTCAGCTGATGTTATTTACTGTATTCAATACTAAATTCCGAAAAACAAATCTAATCAAAAAAAGTTAACTTACCTTTTTGTGACTTTCAACTCCTACTAAAATCATGTCATAATACAAGCTTGCCGAATTTTCTGAAGTAGTTGATCAAATTATATAAATCGAAAGCATGTCATATTTTAAACTTGCATGCGTCTGAAAGCAGGGGTCGGTAAAGAAAAGTATTCGAAACTTTACGATAAAGTATCATTTTCCAGACCTGACCCTCAATATGATCCGAAATTTAAAAGCTCAATTACATTGTAACATTTTTATGTTGAAAACATTTCAGAAGATAATAATTTTATCAATTTTCACCCAATTTAAAGTGACTAATTATTAAGAGGTTACCAAAACATCATGGAATGGAATGATTTTTGTTTAAATCCATTCCTTTTAAAGAAATAATAATAAAAAAAAATTAGATGATTTCCTATGAAAAATCACATAATGTAAGATTGTTCCTGATGCCTATCATAAACAAAGATGTATATCTAATAGGAATGTATAAAATGTGTACCTTTTGCAGACAGTTAATGACAATGTCCACTTTCTCGTACATGTATTATATTTAAAACAGACCCTGTTTACCTCTATATTAAAATAGTTCAGATCAGTTATTAAACCCACTTGAGGCGTATTTCTTTTGTTTGAGCGTTCCATTCTTTTTTCGGGAATGGAGATGCAAATCACATGTAGAAAACAGATTTATATTATGTACAATTTCTTCGTATAGGTTACTTTCCAAGAACCTCTCCATTCCTTACAAGAAATGAATCTCAGCTCCATTACTTTTAAGGAATAGAGGGGCATTTCGACATTAACTTATACATAATCATTTCTGTTTCACAAAGAGGCATCCAACGTTCTCGATAATTTTAATACAGGTAGATAGGGAATAAGGTCAATTTTTCTTATTTTTGTTCTTCTCTTTCTCTAGGATGTGTAACACCCGGAGACTGTCGACGACATACAAACTTGTGTTTTACTGAATGGCAGTGTATAAACAGATTATGCCATTGTAAAGAAATACATACCACTCCGTTTCATTCATCTTAATCTGTTTTCCAGAAAGCTTTTCTGTGGGAGAAATATAATGCAATGCTAAACTTTTGCATTAATTTGTTAAATTATGCATGACATCGAAAAACCTTTGCCAAGCTTACCATTGAGCATTTCAATTTTTAAAAAACTTTTTTGTCGAAGGCTTTTTTTGCCAACCCACTTGTTAATTCAATGTGCATCAATAAGATACTAATTCGATATAGATGTCAGGATATCCTTTTGCTTAATATATTTTCTTTTTCTGCCTAGAAAATCATTTAACGCTTACATTCACGTTTGCATTTACACGTAATCAACACAGCAAATACACTGTAGTATATAGATTTTTATTCCATTGTTTACTTCACTTGTTACAGGAGTGTTTTGATTTTACTTATGTTTTACATTCTAGAAAAATCTATTTTCGATCACAAACACAATATTGCTTACGTACAGTTGTAGTACTGTGACTCGGGCAATATTATAACTGGTATTCTCTACTTGACCAAAAGATCCGAGTTAATCTCGTACAGTCTTCTTGGAGTATTTCATATTATTTTAGCTAGAATAACAATTCAATGTATGTGTTGCTTTTGCATATTTTTTTTCAATTTCCAATAGAAATGAGCTCCATAGGATTTTTGTACATTACTAGCTTTTATAGTCAGAAAATTTGTATTTGTTTTCTAGTGATATAGTATGGTAAAGCAAGTGGAACTATTTGATTATATGAGAAATAAAAAAAAAGTCTCATGTAATTGCTTGTGTTTTCTTACATTATGAATTCAGCAGGTAGAGCTTTACTTCTTATTTTAAAAGCAGTTAGCACTTAAGATATGCTCGAGATCCAAAAATATAATTTGATTTTGATAAAAATGTACATGAGGCATGCAAGGAATATTCATTTTTAAAAAACATTAATGCAAGTTTATTGTAATTAATTTGAAATATTCTTTTGAAGTAAAGTATTCTTCGTCTAGATTAAAAAAGATAATTCAAAGATTTTTCAATGCTCTACAAGTAATGCCTTCCTTTGCAATTGATCAGGCTTTAGAAAGTCTTTATCTCCTTTATTTTGCAATGCTAAACAGATAAGTGATTTCTAATATAATTCCACGTGAGTGGAATACTGGTCGGTCTACCTCAGTTAATCCCTAGCTAAAACCAATTCATTAACAAGCATTCTGAGAGTATTGCATTAGCAATACTAGTCCTCTACCAGCGAGTGTAATCTGGTTCCCGCTAAAAATTGAAAATGCCATAATTCTGTCAAAAATCAATGAAGCAGAACGAAATGCAAACTTGATCTATAACTCATCAAGGTAAAGTCACATACAAAAAATCAGCTCAAATTCTGCAAGCGTTTAGAAAAAAAATTACGGTAAACCCTGAAAAATTGAAAAGGTCGTAATTCCGTCAAGAATTATTGAAGCGAAACTAAATGCAAACTTCATCTGTAATCAAAAACTTAACGATTCTGTTTTGATCTTAAAAAAAAAAAAGACGAAAAGAAAAATTATATTGTTTACCTGTCAGCACATCTATTTTTTTTTTAATCAAAATCTACAGACAATGAGAAGTTAACATTTACTAACTACAACAATTAGCTGCATTTTAGATTTTCATTGGTTATTACAGTGGCCCTTATATATTTCACTCTTAATTCATTTTATATTATCGCAAATACAATTTATCACGGAGTCAAATGCTGACTGACTTTTTCATACTAATTGTTAGGCCATTATTTACACACTGAATTGTCGACGGATTTTTCCGTTATTTCCCGATCATGACAAGGAGCACACGGCGGGTGTGACCGGTCGGCAGGGGATGCTCACTCCTCCATGGCACCTGATCCCACCTCTGATGTTTTGGAGGTCCGTGTTTGCTCTGCACCTATTTTGTAGTGTTTAATGGACTTTTGAGCTTGAATACTGTTCGTTATCTCCATATATTTCATTATCTTGTAAACATCTTTACATGTACCAATTTCTCTCTAGGAGCTACAGATAAACGCATGACTGATAAAAAAAAAATTAAAGTCAACAACGTCTAATTCTGATGTCAATGTTTTATTCCCTCTATATATGTACTTGTTCTGAGAACGGTCCTGGTGGTGGTCTATACACTCGTTTCTGGCCACCGTTCCAGTCGGGATCCTGTGGTGGTCTGTACACCCGTTTTTTGTTACCACCAATCCAGTCGGGATCCTGTGGTGGTCTGTACACCCGTTTTTTGTTACCACCATTCCAGTCGGGATCCTGAGGTGGTCTGTACACCCGTTTTTGGTCATGCACATCCTTGTCATCAGGAGGGGGTAAGTATTGCCTGTACTGTATCCCAGGTCGCGGATAACATGGAGGATCATAGCAAATAATTTCACGTGCACTGATCGCCAGAATCAACGCAGAGACGGTAAACAAAATGATCAGTCCGTACATGTCTGAAGAATTGCAGCCCTGCTTTGACTTGAACAAAAGGAAAACGAATCATTAAATAAATATTCATTTTACAAGCTAAAAATAATTTCTGATGAAAAAAATGTATCTTTTTTTCTTAAAAGGGCCTGGCTGTTTTATTAGCAATTTTAAATTTCTATTTTTACTCAATAAAAAAACTTCAGTTTAATGAATTGAACTAACAGAAAAATTCTTAAAATTTAGCAACAACGACATTCTTCATAACATTACGTCAAAAACACAGGCACGAGCTCTGTTATTGTTAATGTTAACGTTTTGCCGGGTGTGTTCAACTTGTTAGCTCTGTACATATCACCGAACACGAACTGACAACTCTGGTGTGTTGATTTTGCTTTCTCACATTTTTACTTTGACCTCTCTGGATTACAGTTTTAATATTTTTCATTAATAAACAACGTTTTCCACTTTTCTTAAGTATAAGGATAAATTTTACTTCGGTGCAAGGGTGTGTGTCAATCAAACTCGTCCCGAAATTCGTAGTTTATTTTCAGATAAAAGGTGTTTCTAAGCATGCTTTTATACTATATCGGTCGGAAATGCTCTGACAGCATGTAAGTCATGATATTATACTGAAAATTTAAGAAAATATTTCACTTTAAATCTGTGCCCAAGGCCCTTAAATGCTGTCTGCAAAATTTTCCATATTTCAAATGGCAAACCATTCACACCTCTGTATATTGTAATTTAAGAAGTTGTATTCTTAAAAATCTTTTTATTATCACTATTATAGCCTGTAAAGTGAATTCACTTCAACATACATTTGGACATGATGCTATATTTTGTTCACATACCTTGAATGGTTCCGTCTTTGTTAATATATCTTTTTGTTTTGTTCGTTTGAAAATATATACTCTCGGTACAACTTTTGAAGCACTAGTATCAGATGTTGTTAATTGCTGCAACGGATACTTACATGTCATGATGCATGTGAGAAATAAAAACAAATGTTAATTTAAAAACCGAAATCAACATGCATATGCTTAGTAACTTTATTACGCGGACATATTGATGTTTAAAGAAACACTTCCGTCATCCAGGTAACATATTATAACATTTTTTACGCATTTGTATGTGTATTATTTTTATTCTTTTCTATCCACTGAGGTGAAGAATGAAAATTTAATAAGATAAAAATCGATTTTAATTTTGGTGGAAAACCACTTTATATTTTAAAAATTATTCATTTAAAAAGATCAAATTGAACTAAAAAAAATCAAAGAAAAATTATTGTGGTAATGTTATTTATAAATTACATGTACATATATGGCATTATTCATATGCATAATTTTGCATGCACAGACATATACACGTAGATGCATGTATTTATTAATAAATAACTATTTAGATATACAAAACTTGATAACAAAACTTGGTAACAAAATGTTTATCATGTTTGAACATTTAGTTTTTATAACTATTTAGATATACAAAACTTGATAACAAAACTTGGTAACAAAATGTTTATCATGTTTGAACATTTAGTTTTTATAACTATTTAGATATACAAAACTTGATAACAAAACTTGGTAACAAAATGTTTATCATGTTTGAACATTTAGTTTTCTGCCAAAAAATGAACAATCACTGCTTTCTTACTCTTACTGGAACTGTTAACAAATATTGCTTCCTTACTTCTGCTGGAACTGTTAACAACTCCTGCTGGAACTGTTGCTAAGTGAATTTTGCTTTTGAACTTTGGTGATCTAATTAAAACCCCAATTCTTTTTAAAGTCATTTCTGTTCCATATACCTCCTCTCCCAAGGTTGCATACAATAAATGAAGTCATTTTGGGGTTTTTGCTAAGTACAACAGTCCATCAGTTTTCTCCCTCTGACACCACTTGATCCAAGTTGGACGGTTTCAACATTTTGTTCTTTTATCTTCTGCTGCAAAATCTGAGATCCTGAAAAGAATATTTATGGAATATTTTAGTATTAACTATAATATGGAGTTGAACAAAGTGGATTTTATAGTATTTAAATTTCTTTTTAAATCTAAGTAAATCAAATTATAGCCACCCTGTAATTTTTAACTTTTATTACAGAAAAGTGTTGATTTGTTTTGTAAAGAATATACTTTAATGATGTACTTTCAGAAAACCTTTTGTACAATATCAAAAGACTAAACTAAATTAAATTTTACCGTGCATGTACATATATTTTGACTTGATAAAAAATGTAATAGGAGACTTTATTCTAAAATTTTACTATGTATTTGTTCTTTGTGAAGAGGCGTAGATTATACCTAATTCAAAAAATATTTCTTCAACATTTGTCCCCCTTTTAGCAGATGTCTCAGTGAACAGCATGCCATGTTTGTTAGCATAATCCTGGCCTTTCTAAAAAATTAAAAAAAAACAGTTGAACCTCATTCCATGAATTACAATGTCATATGTATGGTCAAATGAATAAAAGTGTCAAAAATGTTAAAATTTTTATCGAGGTAAAATATTCCTTTGTGATTCTTTTATGAAACAGTTCGTATTCGTTTTCAATTACCATTTATGCAAGTTACCATACTATTACTACAACTTTAATTGTATAAAATATCATGTTAACAATTTTTTTTCTGGAGCTTGTTAACGTTCTAAGCATATATGTACATTTGAACAAGACTTTCAAACAGTATGTAGTAAATTAAACTGACATGGATTTAAATACTGATATAAAATTCTATTGAGTGTAAGAAATCAATTTAAAATAACATTTGTGTGAAATCATTACCCTGACTTCAACTTGTCTGTCGTCTCTGAGATCTGACTTATTACCAATAACTGCTACTGTAACTCCTGGTTCTGCTAGTAGAAGGTCTGAGCGCCACACTTCTAAATTCAGGAACGAAATCTACAAAAATTTATTGTATTGAATGTTTTATTTCAAATAATGTATTCGCAATTTCAGAAGAATTGACCTATACGAGAAAACGGTTTCCCGGAAAAAGTCACATTTAAAATCAATGTTCATGAGGGTTTCTTTTACTGTAATATATATATATACGTTATTTTTTTTTCAAATTTGCATTTTGAACCTTGAATTTATTATTTGCAACTTTAAAATTAACCTTCAAAGTTGGCTAAAACGGGCTTTTCTACATTAAAGCGCCGATTTTTGCATGACTTTTTGGCCCAAAAGTTCTTCAGGGAAGGCCTGTCCCCAAATAAAATGCATTGGATATATTTTGATAGATTGTGATCTAAGGAAAATTGAAGATAAGATTTCAAACAATATAATTTTATTTTTAATATGAGCTTGTGTATTTTCCTTCAATTATCAATCTTTTTTGCATGTTCATTTTTGATATCAAAGATTCTTAAGAGAAAACAAGTAAATTCAGATGTAAGTAACACACAATCAAGCACACTTTCTTAGATAACAAGAATTATTCACTCTGTGTTACTCGATACAGATATTCTCGTCTGCAATGAGCTGCGATGGATTTCTATTTATACTGAGTACATGCATATTCCTTAAAATTTAATTAAATCAGCGTATTACTTTTTTTCTGCATGTACTATAAGTATTTTTCTGGGTTGTTGGGCTGGAAAGTATACATATTGCCTGTGTTATTTGAGCTTAATATAATACATTTACAAGTACATGTACTTTTGTGTGCTTAATAGTCAATGTTCTAAATTCAGATCTCAAGTTTTGAAACAGTACGGCTACATATCAGTAATTGCACTCCCTTCTCTTGGGTTTCATTTATATGATTTGTGTACATCAATTGCAAGTTTTTATTATCTACAGATGGACGGACAGGGCAAAAACTATATGCCCCCGAATCTTCGATTACGGGGGCATAAAAATACCAAATAACATTTGGAGATAACAAACTCAAATGTGTCAATGATGTCATGCTGCACAGTCTTTAAAATGATCCCTCCTATCTTTATGACTAGAAATAAAATGATGTATGAGAAACAAATTACTAGTAGTACATGTATGTAGCTTAAAGTCATTGACCAGAGTCAAGCTTTTTACAAAGACTAAAACCAGTCCTGGTCCTATAGGTCGGCGCTACATTTATAACGAAGTGATCCTTTGGCCTCTGCACTTTAATACCTTTCACCTATTCCTACTTTTTCAGGCTAGAACAAACTTAAGTCGGTGGTTTCAATTACTCCCATTGTACAATTCCTAAATCAAGGTATATATTGATCGGTTTTCCCCGTTTAGTTAAGCACAAATACATGTAACATGAATTTTGAGAAAGAATTCCGTATTCATTTATCTTAAAATGCATATACATCCATCAGTCAAACAGACTCACCGTTGATGTAATATCGTACACTAGGAGTGCGATTTTTGCGTTTCTAAGATACATGGGAACGAGAGACCTGAAATTTTCCTGACCGGCGGTATCCCATATTTGAAAGTAGACCTTCCTGTCCTCAATTTCCAGGTATTTCACGAAGTAGCTTGCTGAAAATATACAGATGCATGTTTTTTGTTCAACAACAACTACACTCAAAGATGGAGGTAAAGAAAACAAAAAGTGATTGTAAACTAAAGCCACTTTTAGAATGCAAGAGGCAACGAAGGCTGGAAAACCACTTGAATTTTTCATGCAAGGGCACAAGAAATTTAGATGCCACGGGATAAGTTACACATTATAAATTGTCAAGATTACTACATTTCGGGGGGTTCCGAAGATTGAAAACATGTCAAAAGTAACAAGTGGATCCTGTTCAATAACATACTTAAGACAAAAAAGGAGCATAATGTACACTTCTGTAGAAATAAGCTTTGGCAAAGATTCATGCAAAGAACTTGATCTGACCTAAGATTGTTTCTTACTATTAAGATACTGAGAAATCTTACCTCCCACTGAAGAAGGTGTATAATCATAAAACGTATCATCAACGAATCTCTGAGCTACGGAAGTTTTTCCGACTCCACTGTCGCCAATGATGACAACTTTTACGTAGATGTTGTCATCGCGCTGCCTAAGCCTGCTCATTGCAATTGCCGCATTTCAAGGAAGACGTCGATTTCTGCAAGTAAACACGAAGAAAAATTGACATTCTATTGATATTCTGCATCATGCTTAAGGTAAATTTGTTCCCAACAGACCCCGTTACTGTTAAGAAATGTGAATCCCCGTACAAGTCGGTTACGGTTTTAAAGTCTTTGCATACAGAAACTTTAAGATACATTATTATGCGTTTTATTTCTTGAGAAAGGGATTGTTTTTATGACTGCGGTGTTCTAATATGCTTAGGAAAATAAGACAGAATTTTGGCAAATCTGTATTTCTGAAAGACTTTGCACAGACATATTGCATGATAACATGTTTGTCCAATCAAGTCTAACCAAAATTCTCAACAAAGAAAGGGGATTAACTCTTTCTGTATAACTTTTAGATGTCATAAACTTATCTGTGAAAACTTCAATTCAAATATGTTGAAACTTTAGAGACTCCCCTAACTGACACAACCTGGCAGTGAATATCTCAAGCATGAACTAAGATCATGGTCAAGGGACTTGAGAACTTTAAATTGATTTTGGTACAACCTTATAGAGACTGTAATTTGTTAAATGACCAAAGATATAAATAAACCCGACCAAAGCACATTGAAAGAGATTAAATAAAGACCAGATAGCCATTAGAAGATGACACATATATATGTGATAAAATCTGTCTAGAAAGAAAGTATTCAATAATTTTGACTCTTTCATTCTGTCCTGCACGTATTTTTCAGAAAAGAAAGAATCAGAGAAGTAACGAATGGATGTTGTTCATTTATCCTGATTTATAAATAAAATATTTTATATAATAAGAAAAAATCTCTCTTACCACTTCAGTTTCTGCTCACCAGTAAAAAAACAAAATCTGAAAGAAACGTACAAGTCGAAGATTTAATATGGAACCAGAATATATACATGGTGGACGGTTTGTTCTACTGAAAGGCACTACTATAACAAACTTCATTGCCATCTTCACTTTAGTGAATAACTCCTATTCTTCCTAAGAATTATCATGATTATAATGATATTTTTTGTGATGAGTAAGCTTCTGTGTTCTCTGCAGTAAAGTAAAACATTATTATTTTGAATATTTTAATCATATTTATATGAGGTACAAAGGAATAGCGATACAAAAACATTACATTTATTAGTACATAGGTATTCTGATCTCGTGAGATTAATTTATTGCGTAGTATTTAGAGGTCTATCAGTATATATGTATAAGCATCTACTTACTCTGTGTCCAGTCTTGTATCAAAGTTATGAAATGTGGCTCTTATATCATTATTTTTCTGTAAATGCACTTCAAATGTACCAGTTTCCTTGTCAATGAGATCTTTTTTATTTGGAAATCTGAAAACGAAAGTGCAATTTAATATCGCCATTATGGATTTGTCATGTCGTTGAAGCGAATGATTAAACTAAGAGTGAAAGCATTATATTCTTATAGGAGAAATATGCATTTTTTATCTATCGATCTGTATTTGCACCATTGAACCCAAACATTGAACTTTTTGACAGTTTATAAAGCCCAAACACTTACCTGAACCAAATGGATGTCTTATCAGGTTACATATTTTTAGACTTAATCTCACGGTGGAACAAGATACACGTGTATTCTATTCATGATTAAGTATAGACGTGTAGAAAATCGGAGGGGAATATTTTTTAAAAATACAACTTACTTCCTCCAACAACTGAGCAAGCGCATGAGAACAATGTATTTAAATTCTCGTGGGAGTTCAAGAAATGGAACTGATACCCGCTTTAAGGAAGAATTTACACGATAAAACGATTTGAACTGGAAGGAAATCAAATAGCGGTACTGGTGTATCATGCTACCGCATGCAAGATCACAAAGAAAACAAAATATGTTTGGTACGCGCAAAGACAAGGAAGTTATTGTCAGACTTAAAAGATTATTTTGTTGGTACAATAGATATAACCGATCGATAATTGGATTATGCACGCTTCATAGTAATATGACAGAATTAAGTATTGCTTTAAAAGGCATTTTGTGATGAAGTTAATTGTTTAAATTTTAATGCTAGCAATGAATAATAGCAATAGAAAAATCTTCAAATTATAAAGGTGCTTATATTTCAATATTGGTTTTCATGACTTGAAGTAAGCATAATTATTTTAGATGCTGGTTTATTTTTCAGTAACAAACTTCTCTTAGACTAATATATGTACCACAACTCAAGTCTGATGCATTAAGCCTCCTAAGTGGTTCAAGGAGTTATTTTTGGTTAACTTCGCCACCAGTATTTTCTTCTCCTCTTTGCCATTTTAAAATTAGTGCTTGTTGTTCAGGTTGTTGACATTATATTTTGTTAAAGATTACAAACAAATATAAATGTCTATTGTGAACCTTTTCAGGAAATTGAAGTATCTTTGCTCAAAATATAATGATAGTGTAAATTTGACCAGTTAAACATACATAAATGAATTTTACAATTGTGGTGGGCTATATACTAAATTTGTATTAAGTATTTGACAGATATAATTTGTAGCATCTGTTAACTTAATTGCAATCATTATGATGGTAAAGGTTTTAAAGTTAGTTACTTAAAAAATTCTTGTGGTTTTCAAAAAAAATTGTCCAATTTTGTTCTGTTTCAATATTTTTTTTTGGGGGGGGGGGGGGGGGGGGAAATTATTAGATCATTGTTTAGGATTAGAGATTAAGATAAAACTGTGTATATTCATTATGATAAAGTCACTGACTTCAAAAAGAGTAAAATAAATATTTTAGAAATTTATATTTTAATCTCATTCAATAAAAGAACAATAATATACAACAATGATAAATTGCCTGTCACATATATGACTGTCCATGTTTTTAAAAATAGCATTGTTTACCACTGGATAAAATTTCCAACACATGCAGTCTCAGCACCAATGAGAGACAGATACATGTGTACAGATAAAAAATTATTGAAATAACATGATAATGCAATGTTAAATTAACCGCAACACGATTTCTGTGACAGTTCTGTCTCCTCTTTTGGAGGAATTTGAACGCTGATAATGTTTTTGTATTTTTCAGGAACTTTTATGCTGTTTTCTATGTTTCCGCTTAGTTCTGGATTTGCAAACCGCAATCCTGAAATTAAAAAAAAATATTTTGACAAATACAATTTCTTTAAAAATAGAGGTTATAATCTTATATCATACTGCCAACTAGAATTGCCGTGTCTGTAGCAACTCTGGGATTTGTTACTTAAAATTCGCAAAAAGAATTATAGTACGAGACAAAGCTGTGTCGTTTACTTCTAGAGTAAAGAACTTGGAATACAAAGAATGTTAGATGAGATCAATTTGAAACTATAAAATCACCCATTTTCTTGGGTTCAAGTTTTTGTGCTTTGAGGAACAAATATTGGTTTGTGGGTTTATTTTGGGGTTGAAAAAGTGAGCGTTGTGTCTTCCCACAAATTTTTATTAAAATAGGAATTTAATAAAGTGAAACAAAAATTCTAAAATTAATCACTATATTGTGTATTTTGTTAGCTATGCAGTTATGAAATTTATAAGTCTAAATATTTCGTGCATTTTATTTAATGCCTAAGTCATAGAAAAAATACCTAAGTCATAGAAAAGTTCCTCAACGTTGGTTCCAAGTTTAGCTGATGTTTCCGTGTAGCGCATTCTGTGTTTCACTGCATATGCACGGCCGGCCTGGAGTAAGAAAAATCTCTTCATCAACTAAATATTAAATTTTCCAATTTGTAACTTTCATGACAAGAACGTTTAACATTAAAAGACGTAAACATGTTTGTAATTTAAGGTTATATACATGTAGATATTAAAAATCACGAACGTTTGCAGATACATGTATCGCCAAGTTGAGCATTATAATGCATTTACTTAGAAAATATTACTTAAAAATATCAAAAGATACTTCTCGTAACAAGATGTGATTGTGAAACACTGATGCCCCCGTATGGCAGCTCATGGCGAAGGTTAAAGTTTCTCAAACGCAAGTCAAACGTCAAGGTCAATAGATAAAAAATAGTGGTACCCACAGAAGGGTATTCTCGCAAGGAATATACATGCGAAATATGAAAGCGATAGCACCAACCGTTCAAAAGTTATGGCCAAGGTTAAAGTCTTTCAAAAGTAGGTCAACCACCAAGACCAAGGTTAAAGGGTCAAAATTAATCATGCCCAAGTGAAGGTCTTGTCTAAATTAAGGAATACACACGTGAAATATGAAAGCCCTAGCATCAACTGTTCAAAAGTTATGACCAACGTTAAGTTTTTCAAAAGTATGTCAAACTATACGGTCAAGGTGAAAGGGTCAAAATTGTTGATACGTAAGAGAATGTCTTGTCAAAAGGAATACACCTGTGAAATAAAAAATCCCTGGCACTAACCATTCAAAAGTCCTGGTCAAGATTAAAGTTTTACGAAAGTAGGCCAAACTCCAAGGTCAAAGGGTTAAATTTTTGGTACCCAATTAATGGCTCTGTCACAAGAAATATACCTGTGAAATATGAAAGCCCTATCATTAACTATTCAAAAAATATGGCCAAGATTAAAGTTTTTTTTTAAGTAGATCAAAGTCAAGGTCAAGAATATTTGTACCAAAGGAAAGGTCTAATCACAAGGAATATACGTTGGAAGTATGAAAGCCCTAGCACCAACCGTTCAAAAGTTTGGCAAAGGTTAAAGTTTGGTAACATTTGGCAAAACTGCGTCAAACTGCTAGGTCAAGGTTAAGAGGTAAAAATGTTGGTACCCAAAGAAAGGTCACAAAAAATACACAGGTGAAATATGAAAGCCATAGCTCCAACTAATCAAAAGTTATGGGTAAGGTTAATGTTTTTGTGGACAAACAGACAGAAAAACAGACAGATGGACAGGGCAAAAAATATATGCTTCTGAATCTTTGATTACGGAGGCATAGAAATAGCATTGGATAAAAAAGAAATCGTCATTGTGACCACAGGCACTTGGGGTCTGGACCCCCCCCCCCTTTCCATTTTTTTTTCTTTTGAAATATGGAGTCGAGTCACTTTTTTCCTATTTTTGTATTCTAATATGCACTATATGTTATCAATAATGTAACTCTTTTGTCTCTATATGCTGTTTTTAAATATACCGTTTTCGACTGATACATAAAAAGAGAGAAGGCTTGCAACTCTTTTCTCATCGTCTGCCTCACCTCGCTTAAACTTCGCCTGATTATTTATCGAAAGAATAAGAAAACATGGAATATGCATACATCAATAAATTCGTTATACATTCTTCTTCCTTTTCATATTTCCATTTAATTTTTATGTGCCCCCGATTTGTAAATATTTCGATTAAATCAACCGCATATAGGGTAAATTTTGTTGATGTGCACCAGCTGGGACGGAAGTGCAAGAAAGGTAACTCTAACTTTAGAAATGTTCTGTATTAAATAAAAATTCCAAGCTTTGTAATAAAAATATTGAGAAATTTGGTTGTCTAAGTCGTATGTTAAATGTTAATCTTCATCCATTAGAATCTGCTAGTTGGAGTTATCTTGTTATAAACAGAACTTACCGTTACATATATTATGAAGAGAAAATTCGGGAATTTTTCCCTCTTTCATTTAATGTTCCGAATGACATTACACTTAATGATGACGCCCGAAAATACCGGACACTTCCGTCCCAGCTGGTGCACAACAACAAAATTTACCCTAGATGCGGTTGATTTAATCGAAATATTTACAAATCGGGGGCACATAAAAATTAAATGGAAATATGAAAAGGAAGAAGAATGTATAACGAATTTATTGATGTATGCATATTCCATGTTTTCTTATTCTTTCGATAAATAATCAGGCGAAGTTTAAGCGAGGTGAGGCAGACGATGAGAAAAGAGTTGCAAGCCTTCTCTCTTTTTATGTATCAGTCGAAAACGGTATATTTAAAAACAGCATATAGAGACAAAAGAGTTACATTATTGATAACATATAGTGCATATTAGAATACAAAAATAGGAAAAAAGTGACTCGACTCCATATTTCAAAAGAAAAAAAAAATGGAAAGGGGGGGGGGGTCCAGACCCCAAGTGCCTGTGATTTGAACATAGGACCTCTTTAAAAAAAAATGCTGCAAATGAGGAAAAGAATTGTTATCAGAGAGAAGGCAAATTACCGTCGCCTCTATTTTTCTTTTGCTGCCCAGATCAGATTTGTTGCCCACTACAGCTACGATCACATGCGAAGGTGCGCTGGTCATGAGTTCAGTTCTCCATAGTTCCAAACTGTGAAAGGACTCCTTTAAAATGAAAAGGATTACGCTGTACAAGTATGTCCAGTTGACTCAAATAAGTCTGAAATTTTCAAAAACAAATATTCAGTTATAATTGGTATAGTTTACTTTTTTTCCAATAAACATTCCTTACCTGTGACGTAATATCGAACACCAACAGAGCTATATCGGCGTCACGGAGATACATGGGAACGAGGCTCCTGAATCGTTCTTGACCCGCTGTGTCCCAGATTTGGAAAAGTACTGTCCTGTCTTCTATTTCCATAGATCTGATGTAATAGCTAGCTGAATAAATTCAAATTGATTGATTATTTAAGGAATAACTGTCTAATTTTTTTTTGGGGGGGGGGGGTGTGCTCAATAAGTTTGCTTGCGTGATGATTTGCATAAATGCCTTCGATGTTTTATGCATAAAATTATCACGCGAGCAAATTGATTGATCATCGCAGTAAAACCAAAAAACCCAGACAATTTTTCCTTATTTACAATTTTACTTGATCTTGGATTCAATTATAAAAAAAAATCCAATAATGATAAATCTGCAAGCCCCGCCCCAGTGTAAAGCAACAAACAGCAAGAAAGCATGTAGTTCTGTCACGTGCTGAGCAAATCGCTTTATGAGGATACCCTATAAAGCTACTATCTTATTTTTAGCTTTATCTTGGACAAAGACATTTGAAAATGTAAATATTGTGTCTTAATTAAGGTTTGTGAAATTATCAAATGAATTAACGTTTGGTACATTATACCTACCTCCAACCGTGTGAGCTATTTTCTCTTCGAAGGCATTCTTGGTAAATCGATGAGAGATGGCCGTTTTTCCCACGCACATATCACCAATAACAACGACCTTGACCCGCACAGGGTCATCACTTTCACTAAGTTCAATTTTGCTCATAATTTATGGTCATTTTGATGGAATTTATCATTGGTTTTCCCACTCTGTTTAAAAAAAATATTGGAAGAAATCAATCTTTGCATGAATGTAAAATTTTCAATTAATGTTTTCATTTAAATGAACTAGTTAACAAGTGGTAATTTTAAAATTATTTATTTTACGGAAGAAATTAATATATATAAATTCACATTTCATGTCTCATTAGTTTCTGAAAAAGGCAATGACTATTTAATATTTCCTGGTAGAGTAGGATATTCATGCTTTTTAATTGCCGGAAATGAAAGAAAATTATACTATTATTGTATCATATTTTTGAATTTGGAGATTAGTTATTATCAATATTTCTATCATTAATATGTTAATTATGCTGATTCTATTCAGTATATCAATTTTGATTTTGTATCATAATATGAACTGTGGATGCATGTCTATTCGATGTACAAATAATAATTATTGTTTGATCACTCATAATTTGATAATATTCACCGAGGAAGTCTGTAAAATTTACTTTAGCAGTAACAACAAAAACGATGAAAAAAATTCAAAATAATCATCAGATCCACCATTTGACATCTCACTGTACATGTTTATACACAACAACGCATTTGACACTAGAAACACTTACCGCCTGTCGTAGTTTGAGAGATCTATGTTGTCCTTACGATATCTTAATGAGCACTTTCATTTTCACAAAACTGTTTTTTTTTAAATATTCAGTTCCTCACATAAAACCAGAACAAGGGAAATCCCATCAATAAACTCTAAATCCCTAAACGAGTTATCTCGTGTTTACTTCCGCTTTCAGAAAGATATTTAATATGTGTCCTGCGATTAAAAAAAATTTGACTTTGTAGGATACTCGTGTATGAATATGTACATGTATGTACTTGATCTTAAGGTGGTACTTGAGGAAAGCGATCCAGGTCGGTTAAGCACACATAACTATAGAATTCAGTGGCAATATCAGAGGAGGATCCATGGATTTTGGTCGGGAGAGGGGTCAAATGTTTTGGAATGAAATGTGAAAATGACAAACAGTGATAATTCTCAAAAGTCTATTCAAGCATAAAAATTATGAGCAGATCCAGCACGGACCTCTGAAAACATCAGATGTAGGATTACTGAGGTGCCATGGAGAAGTATAGGCATCCCCAATAGACTGTTCACCCAACCCACCCCAATATACCCCCATGTGCTCTTTGTCATGATCGGGTAAACGGAAATCTTGGAAAATTCAGTGTGCAAATAATGGCCTAACAATTTATATATAACAATAAAATGAGTCAACATTCAACCTTATGACAGATTTTATTTGCAAACAAGGTCATTGTATCGACCATAGATTTTGCGAAATGTTGACTTTAAACGAGATTGTTGATATCATTGTTTCATCAACTTAATTGTCAATAGCATGTCTCGTTTTAGAAATTATTCGTACGTAGAACATGCTCTTGCGTATTGCAATAAATCGCAATAAAATATATAATTTAATTAATTAATAAAATTAGTAAAATTAATGAATATCTTAAGCATTTCTTTAAGAGAAGGAGTTCCCTAATTGATAATTGTGCAAATTGTTAACTTCCTATCAGCTCACAATCTACATGATTTCTCATATAAATTTCACATGCTTCATCATGTTTTATATATAAAATGCTATAGACTCTACTGAGTTTAAATGAGTTTTAAAATTTATTTCTAATCTAAAATCTACTTCAAAAATTCATTTTAAGATATAGTCAGTAATTCTTTCTATTTTATTAGAACTGAATAAATAGTAGTCGCCCGCGTGGCGCAGTGGTTAGAGCGTCTGTTCTAGAGTCGCGGAGTAAGGAGTTGATCCTTACGTCGCGGGTTCGAATCCCACTGCGGGACGTGGAGACCGGTCCTTCGGATGAGACCGTATAAACCGACGCCCCGTGTCACAGTAGGTGCTGGCAGGAAAAAGATCCTTCACTGCTCAATGGCCCTGAGTGCCGAGTATCGGTTAAAATTTGTAGCCCTCCACCGGCAAGTGGTGGCGTCTCCATATAAGTGAAAAATTCTCGAGAGGAACGTTAAACAACAAACAAACAAAAAATGAATAAATAGTACATGGCAGCGCTGTTACTAAAAATAAATGGTAGGTACAGTTTTCGAGGAGATGAATTATGCTTAGTTTAAGAACGCATCATTTTAAAACGTTAAAAATTAGGTACTCAATTTTCATTAATTGTTTTCAAGGTTGCTCACCACCTCATATACCGGGAATAACTATACATGTTTCCTTTGAGAGCACTCTATATTAAGTAATATATTTCTTTCCAATAGTTGCATGGAAGCAATCGACCCTGAAAACGATAAGTCTGCCCAAAAAATCATGTGAAAAGAGGAAAAAATACAATGAAAATAGAATGGTGAGAAATTTTATCACCAAAGAAAGAAATACTAGTAGTAGCAGACGAATAACAGGGCATGGAGGAGGAAAATCATGTATTTTCATACAAGATTATTTTCCTTGTCATTCTACAGCTGTAGTATCTGAATAACACTAAAATTTTGCGTTTTAACCCTGTATATGATTTTTCCCATCTGTACAATGACAATGAACTTTATTCTCATAACTGAAAAACAGTGTAGGGCAAGATACAGCATGTACAAAGTGCACAAATAATATAATAAACAGAAATATTACATACCTAAAGAAGGTATGAAAGACTGTAATTAACCAAGAGAGCCAACTTTCTCAATTATTTACACATTTTGCTAAGTTATTAATACCTGTTACATTAAAAGCATTTCAAATTTTAAAACATTTGGATTCGATTGAAAATTCTTTGGTAAATACATAACTCGAGAATTCTTCATAGATACATCAGTACATTTAAATAAGTAATGAAATTCATCCCCAATTTCATTCCAGTAACATAATTTTCAAATTCTATTCTATTTGGGGATGTTAAATCATCTTCCAGTCTCAATAGGTAATTTTGTATCCCCAGTTCTCTAAATACATGTACACAATATTTTTTGGATTTTAAGAGGCAATGTCAACAAAGATTCTTCAAAGATTAATGATTTTTTTAATTCTATAATTCAAACATTTACCTTTAGGGAAAGTTTGAACTTCACTAAACCATGATTACTTTGTGCACATGGTAAATACCTTATTTTTGGGGGAGGGGGGTCAAAACTTCTAACTTCAAAAATTATTTATTATAATCCAATTTTTATGACAAATTTGAATTAAACAATACATACCATGTAATAATCATTTTAAAACCTGCCAACAAAATTGTTAAGAAAGAAGAATTATGGGGAATTATTTCTTGTCGTGGAAGGATATTTAGAAGAAAATTCTTCAAATCTACACATTTGTTTGATTTATTATCTTGGAACTTTAGTCCTACATATTTTTACTCGAAGAATATCTTTTCGTTATTATATGCTAGAAACATTAAAAACATATAGGTTTCAATTAATAGCGATTCTCTGTAACCACTTAAACTTCTTTGCCACGCATGGTCACCGATTTTGATGAAACTTTGCCCATTATTACAACTTGACACCAGAAACATATATCAAATAAAATTTCGTTGCTATGCGTCTTGGTTGCCATGGTAACAGCCAGAAAAGTTGAAAAAAATGAGATTTTCAGCTACTTTGAATCTTTATTAAGCCTTAATAAAGACTAAGAAAAATAAACAAACCATTCTCACAAGAACCTGACATCTTGTTGCCACTTATGCTATAAAGAAACTATTTAGAATTTATCTCTAAGTAAGTGGTAACCATGGGTACATTTGGAATACATTTTAGATGCTGAAAAATGCAGAAAAACGCTCAATATTCACTAATGATAGGTGTTAAATGATCAAACTCAATCAACAACCTAAGAAAAAACAATAAAATATTTGACCTTAAGTAATTAGGTATTGGCAATATTATTCTAAAAATAACTTTCATGGTTGCCATGGTAACACAGTGTAACCATGCAAAATATGTTGCTAAGATTGGGTTAATGCTACTATCTTCAGGAAAAACAATAAAATTCATGATTGGCACATATACATCCTTAGGACCTTGCAACACCGACAACATAAGAAAAATTGGGATTAATTGTTACTTTGCAGTGTAACCATGGAAACAATGTACCAGTTGTTTAAAGTGATATTTTTTTGCTGCCTTAGGAATTTACTTACTTTTTATTCAAGAAACATATTATTTGACTCACCTTGAATAGTACTTATCTGGAAGAACTAAAGTTGAATATCATATATTGATAACGTTTGTTGAAAAATACAACACTGTTGCTATGGTAACCAAGAAGGGAAAATGTTCGATTTTGTTAATTTTATATCAATATTAAACCCTATGTGCCAAATTTTTGCATCCAGTTAGAGATTGGGTGGCAGTCAAAATTGAAAGTCAGCTTAGTTGTTCATAATTATCAATCATAAAAGTTTTGGGAATCTACATACAAGGGTACGTATCCAAGGAAACAGAATATTTTTCAGATTTTTATGCATATTTTTTCGGCTTATTTCCATAGCAACGGACTATTTAAAGAATTGAATTAGAATTTTTTGAAATGTGAAAATTAGGGCCACATGAACGTCTTTAAAAATTGATCATTAGTTATATAAAAATATGCTTTTTAAAAAGACAGGATAAGATTTAAACACTAAGAGAGTAAATTTAAAATCCCTTCTTGGTATTAAAACCATGGCAACCATTGCCATCCTATCAGAAATATCATATTTCTTCCTTGGTATATGTTACAAGGATCTTTTTTCTATTATTTGCTTGCATTTCAACCTATAATTTTTTTTTATTCTTTAGTGTATGATTTTATAAAATTAAACGGGCAAAATTATTACATTTGAAAACTTTGTTTCCATAGTAACGAATGTAATAATTGATTTACCAAACATGTTTATCGTGCATTTAAGACATCAGGCCTTCAACTTTCAGAAACAATCATTGCCACTTGTTTGCTTTGCTGCAAACGTTAACTGTGGGACGCTGAACATGTTGAAAAATGCCATTTTTCAAACTGTAGGACATGTTGCCATGGTAACCATGACACGTAGCAACCATTTTCTGCCTGATTTGAGTTTACAGTATCAAAGACTTTTATCATAGAGAGTTTGGAGAAATTCTGAGACTATGCGTGCCACAGCTCCTATATAAAAGTTCAAGTCGTTACAGAGAATGGCTCTTAATATTTTAAAAAAAGTTTTACACATTCACTCATGATCAACAGACTTCGCCTGAAAAACGCATATTTTGACCAATATCTCAGAATTTACATAACTGGTCCCACATTTTTCTCTCATTATTTTAGACTACGCGATACTTTCAACCGACCAGCACTTTAATCATAAAAAGCTTGATATGAAAAAAATATCTAATGAGTGATATGTCCACGAGATAAAGGGGTAAGCATGGGATAAAAGAAAATATTTTACTCCCTATTTAGATTTTTAATGCGCTACATGTATATATGAGTAGTTTTCTAAAATATATTTCTCAAAAAATCCTTGATATAACTCAAGTCACGAGTGACATACATATACCTTAATTGAATTTTCCTATAACACGTGGGTCAATCCACATTTATTGAAAAATTTTCTTAACAAAAATCACAACATGGTTTCCTATACATTTTTAATGCACGTAAAAGTTTTGCAAACAATTTAGAACTCTGAGCATTAAGTAGCTTACCCCAAAATGAAATCATTCTAACTTTGATATCAATTATTAAA